GTCAGGGTAGGACCTATAGTGCCGAGCTGAGCTAATACAAAGTCCGTAACAGTGTTCCTCCCGTACCCGACAACACGCCGCGGTTTTAGGGTTTGTGAGAACCCCTGTCGGGCCCAGTTTCTATAAATAGAAACCTTTGCCTTAAATGCAAGGTACGCAATCCTAAGTAAACTCGGTAAGTTAGCTCGTACTAGAACTAACTTGCTCGTCGGAGTGCTAACTTTGTTTTGCAGGTTTCAATAAGTGTTCAGGGAAAGGTGCGGGACCGTTGGCCATAGCTCGTCCTGAGCATACCGATCTAAATCATGTCCGAGTTCATTCAATTTCGGGGCTCAAACAAACGTTCTTACAAATTAGAGTGGGAGAAAATACTTGGAAGAATTCAGATATTTTATGAAAATTAATCAAAAGCCAAGCATCAAACAACTGTTAATATCTTTCAGAAGGTTATTGTGTGCAAAACAACTACTCTGCCAATTTTGAGGCTCTAGAATGAAAGCATATGCAAACTTGGAACCAAACAAACAAAAAAAATAAAAATAAAAATAAAAATAAAAAAATCTAGAAAAGAATAATTATAAGCCAAAATTTGATACTGGAAACCTGATCGACTTAATTAAAAGCCTACGGAGACCATATTGCACTGTCCTGAATTAATAAGTTCTTCATAAATTCCATGAACTAGTGCTTGACCAGTCTACTTTATAATAGTAATCCCTCCAGACCCCTGCCACAAAAATCCAATAGAACTGACTTTAGTCCACTATAAATCAAATACCCCGTAAGGGGATAGAATCTCTTGCAGAAATTTAGTATGATTTCGCAATGTAACAACTCAAATGCAGCCGTGACGAAGCTATAAATTCCCAAAACCGAATTTCATTTCTTTGTAGAATGATCAGAAGGAAATGAATCAAGTTTTTATTGTCACTTTTAAGCCTTTGAAAATTCTTGAGGTGTCAACAATTATTATTACAACATGGATCTCCTGGTGGAACTTAAAAATCGACATGTTAACACAAAATCTAATTATGTTATCGGTTCATATAATGTAGATATTATCAGGTGTATTTCGTAACGATAGTTACAACGAAAACGTTTCAGAGTAACTTACCACAGGATCCAAAATGAGACAAGGAATCAATAACCCAAACACTTCTAGATTTTAGATTTCATGGATATTCTTCATCTTCGAAATCAGAAGAGCACCAATCCCAGATCCAGTTCCACCTCCTAGAGAATGGCACACTTGAAACCCTACAAAAACCCAAAATCACACAAATGTTTAGAGAAACAAAAGCTCAATAAGCTCAGTGCCTTCAGTGTGGTGCCTTTTGGCCCAACTGTTTCCAGCACAAGATTGACCAAAAACAAAATTATCCGGCCTGAAGAATTTCGAAATCGGCCTTCAGATCTGCCATTGAAGAACCTATTGCTGCTTAGCGTCGTGGATTCCTGTCGTTCGCACTTTCAGAGGTCGCTCGCCACTGCTTCACGTTGTGGGGTTGACGGGTCGAGAGTTGCCTTGCACTGCTCGCTAAATCACCACCAGACGCTGCTGCTGCTCGCAAAATCGCCGCCAGTTGCTGTTGTTTCAAGTCCTGGGGTCAAGGGTCGCGGCCGTTTGCAAAGCTGGAGTCGCCGTCGTTCGTTTGGTAAGGGAGAGGTGCAAAATCATGGGTTGCTCTTTGGCGAGGGAGGCAGAATAGCAAGAGAGGGAATAAGTGTGAAAAATGTTGGGTTACAAATGGAAATTAGGGTGAAAAGGGGCTAGACTTTAATGTCGGTTATTGACCGACATTAAAAATGTCTAATATAATGTCGGTTTTCAATCGCCATTAAAACTTAATTATTTTTTCTTTATAAATTTAAGCACGTTTTTTCCTTGTCCGTCATTGTTTACTCCATGTTTTTATTTTTGACTGTCATTAAAAGCTAGATTTGTTGTAGTGTAGCTGCACTATCCCTTGATCCATTGTCTTTTTGTTGATCTTCTTATGAATTTTCAACATGTTGTCCACCACCCTCACTACCACCATTGTTATCATCCCTTCCACCCTCACCCCCATCTCCGTTCCTATCATCCTTTCTGATAACGGCTATATTCTCATTCACTATTCGTTTAACACTCTCAATCTCAGAAAACAGTGTATTGATTTTACAATTCATGTTCTCGAGACTACTTAATACCATCTCTTTAAACTCTTCAAAAAATGGAGGAATATAGCTTTCTTTCGATCCAAAACGTGATGAATTCATATTTGATGGTTCACCTTCCTCAAAAACTCTTGTGTGTGCATCATCTTCTTCTTCGAACATATTTGGAAACTCAAACTGCATTAAAATTAACATATAATTATTATAGTCATCAATATATGTACATAAAGAAAACAAAACTAAAAGTTTAAAAATTATGCATTTATAATACCTCTTCAATCTCAAAAACTCTAATTGCTAGATCCCGCCATTCCGATTGTGCGTTCGCCTCCCAATTTACCATCTTTGGTATATCAATAGATACGTGTTTGGCATATTCTGTTTTCCCCGAAGAAAGCAATGGTATGCATTCATATGCCCAAATAAGCAATGCTAACGGCATTCCAGAGAATCCCACAACAGATGCATGTGGGTTTTTGATTGCTTTCTTTATAGAATCTATTGTTGAGTTATAGCTAACCCGTCCCCACGGATAGGTCTCAAATTGTTCAGTGTCATCAAGAAGCTTGATATATTCAACTTCAATTCCTACTGCTCTTTGTTTACCCAACAAGAAATTTGACAACAAAAGTAATTGTGTCATCTTAACTTTGTCCTTCTTCTTCACTACATCCCTTGAATTAAACAAAGTGTTTATTGTTGCCCTCTTCACAGAAATTGTTGAGTTGTTGAAATATTTATTCAGGAATCTCCCACTCAGTTTTTTGAAGTCCACAGAAAGTAGTTCTTCACATTATAGACAAGTTATAGCCTCAAACTCTCGTAATCCAAAATGAACCACCTTGCCCTCAAAGTTGAAATTAATTCAATCTCTAGGGAAAGTGCTACATTGTCTTCTAGTTATGTGGCTAACCAGTTGGAGATGATATTTTTTAATCTTAACGTCTAAGAAACTACCACAACATGTATTTCTAAATTTTATTAGATGTTTTCTTGACAGTACGTCCTTAATATTCTCCAACACTTCTAACTTTGAGTATATTTGAAGTTTCATGCTATTTAACCACTTATCCCTCGGAAGTAACAATAGGGCCGCCTGAACATAATATAAACCTAAATGTAAATATATGCATATAAATATAATTGGTTACTTACAATATAGTACATGGATATATAATACATACCTCATACGCATCTGCCCGATTTTGACCAATAAAATTACCTTTATCATAATTCCTTTTTTTCCTTTTTCCTTGCGTCCAAATTTCTAAACATTCTGTAATTCAATAAAGATTAATATAATCAATATCCCTTAAAAAAAATTCTACCTAAAAGAAAACGGGAATTACCATAATCATCGTTTCTTTGATCGTATCATCATTTTTCTTCTTCCCCTTAATTCCCGACACATTCTTTACTCTTCCCACACCCCTTTTCAATTTTTCCAATCTTTCAATTATTGGGATTTCGTTCTCTAGCA